TATATATATATATATATATATTGTACTGTAATTTTTTTTTTTACTCTGAATTCTGTAAAAAGTGTAGCATTAGCAATGATTGAGAAATATTCAAGGCTTTATTTGTTGGTCAATAGTGTTTGTGTGTTTCCGCATGTTTACTTCAATTTTCATGTCAAAAACGTAGAAGCTATGTTTTACTGCTTCAGAATAGACGCCGAACAGATGTCAGGGACTGGAAACCAAACAAGTTATACGAGCGTGCGTTTGAATTATAATTAAAAAGTTGACTTAAGCTTAAGTTTTCAAACTAACTTTAAAAAAGAATTTAACTTTTTAGTTTTGATTCGGTTGAAGTTTTCTTATAATTCATACTCAACGGAATGAAAAAAAAGAGTCAAATATGTAAGAACTGTATTTAAGATTATCTAATTGGGGTTTCATGTTTCAAATGTGTAAAACTTAGCCGTAAACTCTTTAACATTACAAACATCTTATTAATACTTATTTTCTTGTCTCTTTTTTGTTTGTTTGTTATATATCGTCAGTGAAAATGTAAACCAATATCCTTAACGCAATGTTAACGAATCAAAACTAGAATGTTTTATTTTTAAAACTAGAATGTTTTATTGAAAAATGGAACAATGTACTTTTACGTAGTTTTGATGTAATTTTTAATAAAAATTAAACAAGTGTTCGACCTTTGTTGGTAAAACCTTTATATATATACTTTTTCCCCCTCACTCTAGGTACTCTAGGTGTTAGTAAACTCATGGTGTTCATGCATAATTATCTTTTTTCTTAATATAGATTTTGTCTTTCGATGATGCGTAGAAGTAGCACAGATTTCTACAGCAGTTTTTTTTCTTTTTTTCTTTTTTCCTTTAATGTCTTCCAATGGGTAGATTCCATAGGGGTGGGCATTTTGGTAAGACTCCATAGTTAAAGAAGAAAAAGAAACAATATTTTTGGTCCAACCAAAAAAGGGGTGGGCTGTATGTGGGCTTGAGCTTCAGTAGTTGCGAGAGAGAACCCCCTGGCCCTCAGGTGCGTTAGTTCCTTGGCATAGTAAATAAAATTTAAGATATGATATGACTAGTTCTGGCCACTCTGCCTATCGTTCTCTCCACTCTTACTGTGAGTTCCATCTTTCACTTTATCTCCTCTATCCACCATGCATATATGTTTTTTTTCTTCTTCTGTGCCAACTAAATTTAACGTAGTTACTAGTTCAGTATTGCAACACGTTATTCTCTTTAACTTAGCGTGTATCTGTTTTATTTTAATAGAATTTTGAAAACTTTTTTGGTTTTTCTTTTTTTTTGGTAGAAAATGTAGTTAGCATAGATTGTATCGAAAGAGAAACTAACCAATAAGGCGAAATTGCTTGTACCTGTCAAGTTTGACATGATGTTAGTTCCGTAGTGCCAATCGTTATTGCTTTTGAAGTAATGAAAGGGTAAAAATTTGCAACAGAAAATATTTGGGTCTCTTTGGTTTGGATGCATTCCGCACGAGAATCTCAAGTTTGTTTCTCTTCCCCTGCCGAACGCACTGCAGAGGTCATCCTCTTCTCATTCTTTCTAGGTTTCTCATTTTTCTCTGTTTATTCGTAATTTGGTATTGGAAGCGTTAGTAATCACGTGCAACTGAATTTCTATTTTAAAATGTGCCTGGACTGTCTTTTATACTTCCTTCGAATTCTTATTTTTTCTGTTTTAAAATTTCGTTGTGATTCTTCAAGCCGTGATAATTTCTTTTGAAGCAAGTATACTGTTCAAACATTGCAACTGCCGCAAAGATGCCTTTATTATTTACTCACCGTAACGACGTGTTAATTCGTTTAGGCTTTTGATTTTAGTTATTGCAAATGAAGCTCTATACTTTTTACCATTTTGTGTATTAGGTATTCTACAATTTGGAATTTTGGTTTGGTTGAAACTTGAAAGCAAGGTTGATGTTGTGGAAAATTGCGGTGACTCCAAAAACCTTGACAAATAAGAGTTGTGGACTATTTTTTAAAACCTTGGTTGGAAGTGGATCTGACTGAATCTCAAGGAGGCTTTATTTATTTATTTAAATTTTATTGTTTTTGTTGGGCTAGGAGATGGAGCATCCTTGTTTTCTCGGTTTGGTTGGTTGGGATGGTTGATTGGTATACATATGGTTGTATAAAATAAAATTCATACAAACAGCCTTTTTTCGGGTACTGAACCTGTGATTCAACTAGTAGCAGAGCCAGAGAGGTGTCAAATGAAATCACTTTTGGAAAGCGTGGTCTGATGAGGGAACTTATGTTTTTTATTTTATATATGTGCATACTTTATTATAGTTTACAGACTACAATTGGACTCAAATGTGCATGTGTATAATACTAAGTCAAGTTTCATTGTTTCACAGTCTCGATTGTCGGCTAAAACATATTCTGATGGGCACTAATTGGATTATAGCTGAAAAATTATTCATGTACAAGTCTTGTACTTCAATTTTGTTGCTACTTTGATTTAATGCCTTTCCATATATTGTCTTCTATTTGTTTTTTCATTGGATGGTTTAATAATCAAGAAGTTCCTTTTGTGATTCAGTTTTATTTTTAGAGATTTGAGTGGTGGCTATATTTAACAAAGTACACTTGTTATGTTTTATTTGATTTTTAAAACCAAATTCACCTTTGCATTTCTACTTGTCATGGATTTCAGAAAAAATGGAGTCTGATGCTCTGACATGGGGAGACAAACTCATACTGAGGGGATTGTCATTCCATGGTTTTCATGGAGTGAGGCCCGAAGAAAGGAATCTGGGCCAGAAGTTCTTGGTAGATATAGATGCTTGGCTGGATCTGAAAGAAGCTGGCAAATCTGATCACTTAACACATACAGTTAGTTACACGGATATATATGAGTGAGCGACCGACAAATTCAGAACATCATTTATTCTTCTTTCATCGTTTGATTGCATTAACTTCTAGAGGCACTCTTTTCATATTGGTAGTTTACTAATTTATTAGCTGAAATCTTATTGACATGTCAATAATTGGTGTTGCAGTATAGCTAAGGAAGTCCTTGAAGGGTCACCTTACAACCTTCTGGAGTCAGTGGTCCAAAAAATTGCAATCACTACTCTGTCAAAGCATAAAGAAATTTCTGCTGTTCGAGTGAAGGTTGGAAAGCCTCATGTTGCAGTTTGGGGTCCAGTTGATTACTTAGGCGTTGAGATACTTAGACGCAGAAGCGATTTGTCAGAGTAGAACTTTCGTATTTACTGCGGCAGAATTTTAAAAGGGAACAGAATAAGACTAGAAGTTTCATAGTTTCTGCTGCAGAATTTTAGTGTGTTGTTCCATTTGATACAAAAGTTAGGCAACTCTTTCCTTCAGTACCCAATTAGTATGTTTTATCTTGCGTTCTCTCTTATCAGTCTAGCTGATATAATTAAAAGATCAAAAAATTAGGCATACTAAATAAACTATACAATGATTTGGATTCTCCAAAACAATATTGCAGTGAGACATTAATGAATTGCCTATGTTTGTGAGTAAAGTTTAGTATGTAACCATCATTATTTAATTGTTCATTTGTAATTGTTTTTTCCTTACCGATAGTTTTGAACTGACGAGTGACGGATAATTTTTATAGGCTTGTAAAAGCCTAAACTGATAACTTTTTATCACATTTCATAATTTTGAACCCAAGGAAGTTCAAAGCGAATAGTTGTAGATTTGTACCTTCGATTTTGCTAAGAGCCGAAATGTCTACAATTTGCTTCGGATAAAGTTTAAAACAACTTAGAGGGTGTTTGGTTTCACTTTCAAATCATGAAAATAGATTTGCAACTAGTCAAACCTGATTTGAGTAAAAATATAGGTGTTTGGCTTTTATTAGGCAAAATTTATTTCGTCTCCAAACTTCACCTTAATTCAAAGTAACTTCTGGTTTCAGTTAAAAAGTTTACATTGAATTGAGGTATAACAAATTTACTTTCGAGGGTAAAACACACGAACATAAATTTCATTCGGCTTGAAAATTAAGTTCATTCGCAATCAATTTTAAAATACTCAAAACATGTACTGACGCCGTGATACATCACTCTGAACAAGGCTTATTCAATGGCTATTTCTTTTTCAGAGTAGCATCCAAGGCAAGAAAGTAGAAACATTCTTACCTCTCATCTTTCATTATTCAAAAGCATCGAATATTATATTATATCGCCATCATTCATGTTTGGTATTTAATTCACTTTTGTTATTGTTTAGTAGATCATAATTACTTTATTTTTGTTCTTGTTTAGTAACGCTTCTCTTTCATTTTGTTTTACACTTAGGAGGTCTGACATGTAGAAATTTTTACTTTACCATAATGGTTTTTCATATTTTGCTCCTTATTTAAAAAATAATATTTTTAAAAGACATTTTTACTTTTTTTTTTCAAAAAAAATTAAAATAAGTTTCTCACTAGATTATTCATGGTGGGATGAATATTTAACATTTATGAGTTAAAAGAAAAAAAATTTGTATTATATTACATTTATTTGTTGATTTAATATGATAAAATATTTTATTATTATGTAACATATATAAATATTTCAAAACTTTTTAAAAAATTATATAATTCAAATCAATGTGTAAAATATTTTTATAATTATTTATCAATTTGAATTAATCAAACAAAGAGCCAAATCGTTTTTAATTTTTTTTAAAATTTTTAAATTTGATCAATGCATTAAATTATTTTAATTTAACTATTAAATTGTTAAAATTTGATATAAAAAAAAACGTTAGTTATTGAATGAAGTATGTATACTAAGAGTTGTTATTAGAATAAATAGATCTCTCCTCCTTTAAAAAAATAATAATAACTAATTAAGCAAATTTTAATAATTTATAAGAATTATAATATATCTCAAACTGAAAAAAAAAAAAAAAATTCTATCTCCTTAAATGTCTTTTAAATTGGACCACTAGAATTAGCCTAGTGGTTGGGTAGGAAGGGGTTGGAGTTGTTAGAAACATGAGGACCTAGGTTCAATTCTCATTACGACTATCTTTGTAATCTTTCTTATCTTTACAAAAAAAAAAATATCTTTTAAATTTCATAAAAATTATTATACAAATTCATAAGATTTTCTCAATCCTTAATATTAGTTAGATTTCTCTGGTCTATATTTCTTTTTATATTTTCTACTTCATAATATATAGATAAGGATATATAATAAGAAAAATGAATTTAACATTTTTATTGATATTATAAAATGACAAAAAATAGAATAATTTATTTATGTTAAAATATAAAATGAAATGAAATTTATTTTTGGATATGATATTTTAGTATTTTTTTGAGTATTACAATTAAAAGTCGAAAAAGGACATGATTAAATTTTAGTTAATGATATGTGGTCCATATAGATATTTATATGGATAGGATGGGTGTGAAATGGCATTTATTAATGGCAGCACATGACATAAACCATTAGCCCTGTCCGCACGAAGAACATGATTGAGCTTGAATCTTTGCAACATACTCTCCGTCGAACTAACCATTTGCAACAAAAACAACTTCATTCAGCTTTCATCACTACGTCATTCACACAGGATTTGTTTGAATTGATTTTTAATTAAAAAATATTGCCTTAAAATTTAATTTTAATATAGTTTAAATATAATTTTCTTACATTTAATTTACTATTTTTTTATTACTTTTAGTCTCTGTTAATTTATTATTATTATTATTATTATTATTATTATTATTATTATTATTATTATTTCATCTCCAACATTTTATAATGTTTCAAAAAATAATTATTATCTTCAACTCCTGCTAAAAAAAATACTAGGTAAAAAATTGAATACATATTATATTGATATATTTTGTTTTATTATTGTCTTATAGATAAATTGATTTTAATTATTTTAGAGACTTTTAGCCTTACCTTCGTTAAAAGACACATCTTATTGATTTTAGTGAAGAGTCATTTCTTATATAACTTTTAATAAGGAGACATTATTTCATAAAAGAAAGTACATACTTTTATTAAAAATGTATAGTTAATAGTGACATATTTTTCACAAATACACATTTATTTTCATTAAAAAAATATAACCCTTCTTAGTTACATATTTTCGTTAATTAACACATTTTTAAGAAGCATTTGGTAGGAATTTTTTTTATATCTAAAAAATTATGATTTCTAAAAATTATAAATCCTGAGAAATAATTTTCGAGAATCATGATTCTTCGTGAAAATAACTAAAATTTATTTGATTACTTATAAATTTTTTTAAAAATATTTATATAAGATATCTGAAAATTAAATTTTTTTATATTTAATTATAATAATATATTCATGAGTATATAAGTATTTTTTATAAAAATATCTTTTATTAAAATAATCTCATTAGATATATTTATTTACTCAAATCAAATCTTATTACAAATATGATATTAAACTATTTAAAATAGTTGAAAACTTATAATTATAATTATTTAAATACAGATTTTAACAAAAAAAAATATAATCTAATTATTGGAAGTCAAATAATATTTGTGTTGTAATTCTTGAAGACTTATAATTTGTGTTGTTGAAAGATTATTAACATATTTGTAGTGCTTTTGATTGAAAGAATATTTTTTAGTATTTTAATTTAATTTTTATTTATGTAGTTTTAATGTTGAATGTAAAAAATTATACTATGGATCTTTTAATTAACTTTGTTAATTATGGCAAAAACAACCTTAAAATTTTCAATTTAAATAAATAATAAAATATATTTAAAAAAAAATCTGACCGGTCAATTCCCTCTTAATTGAGATTGGTCAAGATTTATGATTCAGTCTCACCTGAAGAATCAAGTCATTTCATTTGATGTCATTTTTTAGGGATGGATAGTAAGGCAACTAAAACGGGTACCTGAAATGCCCTCCATTATTTTTGTTATAAGAAGCATAATTAAGGAAGGGAATGGGATATGAATATGATAGTTGTAGAGTGGCGAAATGGGTGGAGAAATTTAGAGGAGACAGATTTTGGATACTGTTCCGATGGACACTATGCTCTATGCCACATCCTTCATCGTTTTGTGATTCAATGCCACCTACTGTACTATACCACTCAGCCCTACCTTCTTTATTGCTTCTTCTTATTTTAACTACCAACCACTCATTCAATACATGTGGTCCACAACAATTAACCACTCACTCTCACCCTTCTTTCCTTTTCCTATATAATCTATGCAATTCAAACCTCTATCTATCAAATGCTAATATATATTTTTAAGGTAAACATCAATTATGAAATCATATATCCAATTAAAAACTCTTACCTTGTCCAACTAATAAAAACCATCCAACAGCTGGAAAGGATCCTTTCATTCACTTAATAACTACGATTTGAAACAACCACACGTAACAAAGATACCCAAAGATTCCATCATCATCATACTTATATACAACCACCGAGACTTAGTCCAGACATCGGAACTCAGGGAAACCTCAAGGATTTCTTCTAAGAGCCTGTTAGGGACTTAGGATATAGATTACAAGTGTTTTAAAAAGTTTTTTTTTTTTTATTTAATATTTTATGTTTCTACCATAAGTACGCTATAATCATTAGAATCACCGTATCTGAGATATTGTTCGTTTCGGCGTTCGTTGGACCGTCACGATTTTATCTTTTAAAAGGCGTCTCGATGGGTTAAGGAAGGAGAATATTTATAAACTATTCTTAGCCTTAACTTCTAAGCAACAGTTGATACTAAGGGGTAAGAGTGGCCTAAGCCTTCCTTCTAACGCCAATGATCATACTGTAAGTCTGTTGTCATCGTTAGGGTTACCGCATCCGTACTCGTTGGACCGTCATAATTTTATCATTTAAAAGGTATCTCAATAGATTAAGAAGGGAGAATATTTATAAACTACCCTTAATCTCAAGTCTCGACTACTAAATAACATGAGACTTTTACATATACCAAAACATTTTCGGTATAAAAGATAGCAAAAACACTTGTAATCTAGTATAAAAATAGACTTTAGATGGAAACCTTGGAAGGTTTGTAACAACAATATATAGATGTTGTGCATATTATTTTTTAATTAGTTTGGTTCAACAATATATGAGGTTAAAATGAATTTTAAGAAATTTTTTCTCTCTAAATGAGAGACATTTTTTTCTCGGTCCACAATTTTTGTATGTTTTAGCCATTTTTTTTTACAATTTTTTTGTTTTAAATAATATTAATTAACTTTTTCACATATATCCTTATTAACGATTGTTATTTATACTCTATAATTGCTTCTTGTTAAATATTAACTGAGGATATTTTATACTTAAATATTAGCATTTAAGTATTTGTTGAGGACCATGTAAAAACCTTCAACATAAAAGTTATTGTCTACTATTAGTCTAAATTTCTGTATTGTCAACCAATAAAAATCACAATTTGTAGGCCTTTAAAGGTAATTATTAATTTATTATGAAAGTTAATAAATTTATCGTTTATAGATTGTTATTGGATTACAACTTAAAAATTAGTAACAAACTCTTTTGATGATATGTACGTAAAACTAAGACTATTTTACATTATTAGTACATGATCATTAAACTAAGACTCTTTTGATAGTTTTCATTCTAATATAATAAATTATGTTAAAAATCTGAACCAAACACACACGTAGAGATTATTAGAGGCTTTATGCGGAAAAAAAGATATTATTTGAGGCTATACCCTTTTGGACCATGTGATAATTTCATATAAAGAAGGTGCGGTGCTTGTAGTTCTCTTTATATTTTATGATTTTATAATTTTATAATAAATTTTAATTGATAAGAAAGTGTTAGGAAATAAAAAGGGAAAAATGGATAATGGATTTACGTATTGAGTAGACACTTCCCACTTACACTAAGTTGTCTAAACAATTTATTTATTGGAGAGTCCTATATTTAATATAGAAAATAACTTGTCATGGTAATCCACTATCACAAGTCAGATTAATAACGGCTGAAAATAGATGTCGACAGAAAAAAAAAATGAAAACTTATATTTCTTTAATTACTATCCGTGCTTTTTCTCTTAAATGATATTTAATACAAATGTTTTTGTTACATACCAAAAGATTTAAATTTTATTTAAAAGTTTTGTCGAGAAAAATTTTATTATATGAAAGAAGAAAATGTAGTTCCAACTAATACCTACTTATAGGTTATATGGTCAAGTATTACGCATTGATTTTGACTGAGACCACGTGTTATTAACTCTCCGAAAATGAAGTGTTAAGAATAAGAGCAAGTGGTTGTTCTCATGTTTGATCATGGCCTCCGTATGGATGCTTGCACTTCTGAAAACTCTGTCTCCACTCACTATGATGGGAGGGATTAACTGATTCTTGGGTCGATGCAAATTTCGCCTTTTTTCGCATTAAAAACCACTGTTGAGTGTTGATCTATCAAAAGTTTCGCGCAAGTGGGATTTGCTTTAATAAAATTTTCTTCTTGGATTGGGTATTAACGCCTCTGTTTTAGCTATGAATCGAAAATGATGAATAGTCCTTGTGTTCAGTTCTGGTCACGTGGTTTCATTAAAGTTTATCACCCCTCTTTCTTGGGGCGTGCGTGTACAAATTTTGTTAACGAGTGGCTCAGAATTCTCTCACTCGTATTTCTGAGTCTTATTGGTGCACAGTGGTAGTAGCTCAGATTCACCGTCTCAAATGGATGTGTCAAGTGTCATAGAGTTATGCATATAACCTTTTGTGGCCAATTACGTTATACAATATGCTATTTTTGTTCTGCTCATGACATGTGATATTGAATTTAACCTGAATAGATGGCTAGCTAGTCTTGTTTTGGAGAATATTTAGTGCAGAATCTTTTAATTGTAAATCGTTTTTTAGCATATGACTTTGCCATAGAAGGCTCGTTCTCATTTGCTTATAGAGATGGTGAAAAAGGGAAACGACATTATGCAGTATAGAGAGAGGTTGGAGAAGACCCTTGCCTTATCTGATCTGACAAACAACCAGAAACTCAAAACGCTTGTCAAAAGTCAATTCCAACGTTCTTCTAAATTAGAAACTGAAGGTAATAGTTTGCTTTCAGCTCTTTCTCAGAAAAAGGTACTAACTGACAGATATTATTATTGGTAGTCATGTTTATTTACTTTTTTAATTCTATCTTTGTCTTTTGCAGAATGTAATGAGAAAGTTGTGGAAACCAGGACAACAGAACTATGTAACTTTCTTGATATGTTGAGAAGTGCTTCCGGAGACAATAGTGGAGGATCTAGTACATCACACCCTGAATGGAAAGTAAGCTAGCATTAGCCATACTTTGTTTTCTTCATATTTCAATTGCTTATTTAGATCATCTTCTGTTGATTAAGATCTTGAACTTTCTTGTTTTGTTCACCGAATTGGGTGATCATTGATCAACTTCTTGCTTCAGTGATTTATTTACCTATTGATAATTCAAAGGACTGATGCAATTTTGTTTAGCATTTGTATTCTTGAGACAGTTTTGATGATAATTTTACTTCTTTCAACAGTTAAAACAGGATAATGAAGAATTTCGTGTTATGTATCGTGAAGGACCAAAAGGAACTCCCTTTCATACATTGCTAGTTGAAGGCTATGTAGATGGGCCTCTAGATGTTTGTGAGTCATGTTATCATGAGCCAAACTTTTTTGGCATAGCCCTTTTAATTAGTTTAACAACAAAGGCCATGCTATGATTTTCAACACGTGAAATCTTATCCTTGGTTACATTTACAGCTTTATGCCTTTCATGGGAGTCGGTCCTCTACAAGAAATGGTGAGAATCGTGTGCAATATTTGATTTTAGTTTTCTATTTAAGGTTGAGGTTATACCATGTTTGTTGCATGCAGTTGACATTATTTTTGTATAGCATAGAAGTTATTTGAATCTATGTTAGGGGAACACTACAAATCTTGGTGATACTTCTAGCTGATATACCCCTTCACAATTTTTTTTATAAATTTTTTCAGGTGGCCTCAGTTTACTATTCCCAGTTTCAAAGTTCTAGTAGCAGAACGTTTGCAGAGGGTCCAGATTGGGGAACAAATATCACGAGTGAGGTGTGTCTTGCCGGCATCCAATAAGAAAATTTACTTATTAGTGTGTTAAACCTTTACTTTTGAATGCTTATATTGCTAATTATGTGAGAAAGGATGAAGGTTCCATGGCCGCTGTCTGCAAGGGAGGCTATAGTGCATTATTATCTGTTTGAGTATTTTCAAGATGACTTGGTGGTGGTTCTTTTGAAAACGGTAGTCCCTTGCACCCTTCTCTCTTTTTCTCAAGAAAGTTAATTCTAAACTAGATTTAAGCTTCAACAAATGTGTGCTTAATTTGCTTTCAGGTCCCTGAGTCGAAGATCATTGATGGTTTCAACAAGGATGTAATTCCTGAAGCAAAGGATGTGGTGAGAATTGATGTGGTGGGAGGCTATGTTATGCAAAAGGTGACATCCGATAGAAGCTATTTTCGGTGAGTACTAAAAAATTACAACTTTGAGAGTGGAGATCAAAGAAGAAAACCTATGTTGCACAAGGATGGGTACATGTATTATGTGACTGACAATATATATATATATAGGGAGCATATCAAGTGTCAAGTGAGAGATCTGTTTATTTTATAAATAAGTTTATCTAAATTTACTCTGTTCAATAATTTATGTTTTATATCAAACTGTTAAATTTAAAGTTTTTAATACATAGATCAAATTTGTAAATTTTTAAAAAATATAAAAATTATTTAATATTTTATTTCATTAATTCAAATTAATGCTTAATTAGTATTCTAAAGTGACTTAATTAAAGAATTTTTTTTTAATAAAAAAATTGTTAAATAATAAAAAGATTGAACTCAAGTATTAATGTTGATGGAGTTATTTTTATGATATTTATTTGAAAGAATATTTTATAAGAATTATAACTTTGATATTTTTATAAAGTTATTTTAACACTGTTGAAGTTATTTTATGATATTTTATCCCAATTTTCCTTTTAATTATCATCTAAAAGGTATCTTTATTATTAAAGTATATGTTTTATAAACTGTTATTTCCTCTCTTATTTTATTGATATGGAACTTTGTTAGTATTCCAAAAAATGTTTCTATCTAACCTTCACTAGGTCAAACATAATTGTTATTGATTAAAGAATTAAAAGTGATTTTTTTTTCTTTTTTAGAATATATATGTAATAATGCACTTCATATGATTTTCGATGCAACTTCATAATAAAAAAATGTTTCCTCTTTCTTTGATTAATGCCTTATGACACTGCTAATTACCAATGCCCTAATTAATTTTTTGATTATAAATTTGTGTCTATCTAAGAAAAAAAAATTGTACATATAGGAAGTTAGAATACAAAACATTTAAGAACTACAATGGAGCCCTTAGAACACTACCAGTTTCCATTGGCAGCTAACCTTTTGTTTCCATTATAAGTTTCCTATTAATTTCTTACCGGGTACTTAAAAAGATATGTAAATGATCTGGTTTAAATTTATAGACTAATGGTATGGCTTAGCTTCCAAGTTCCAACATGTGGTGTAAAATGAAAAAAGATTTTGGTTTGATGTGCAACCCTTATTCCGAGACCTAATTTTTTTTGGCAAATTTTGTAGGATAATAGCAAATTTGGATTTAAAGCTGGATTTTGTACCTCCAACCCTCATAAATTTCATTTCAAGGCAGGTCATCGGCAGTGGTTTCAAACTTTATCAGAAGGTTGTAGATTCCTTTGAGATTTATTTTGTTATGGGACATCAACTAATATTGACTTTGTATCTATTTTCTTGCGGCTAACTAATAAGATCAACAATTTGTTTTAAAAACAAATAAACAAGTTATAAGTAAATGTATGGCAGCATTATGTTTTAAATTCTATAAAAATCATTAGCTTCATCCATTCTTTATTGTTATTGTTAATATTATTTGATAAAAGAGTTATTTTTATCATAAGGAAATCAGGATTACAGGAAAAAAAGAAGAGAAAATATCCTCCTTAAATCAACCGAGAAAAAGGATAACATTCATATTTATTAATATGGATTCTTTAATTATAACATGTATGTATTTAACTCATGTGTCTGTTAATGATTGTCTGAAAATATTTATGGAAGAATTATTAGGTAGTATAAAACCATCAATTATCTATAAAACCAAAATATGCATTTAAGTTTTTAAATTTATAAAAAAAATTAATGACACTTAATTACATGTTATGTAGAAAATAAAGTAATTATAGATCATGTGATCTATAATAATTTCTCATATTTAATATACTACTAAATACTCTAACTTCTTATTACTTAAAATTGAAGTACTAAATAATTTTTATGCTTTTAACATAAAAATTCCTTCTCTTTTCCTTGTTTCTTTAGCCGGTGTTTTGAGGCCACTCTTCAACATTGTCCTTATATTCAATAGGAGGATTTGCCCTGGCTGATGAACTTACAGTCACTTTATTTACAATGGCTATCTAGAAGATTGGTTTCAGCATATTTACCATTTTCTCCTTGCTCATGCATATAAAACATACTGAAATGTTATTTTGTGTTTTTTTTATCACCTTTTGACATTAATCAATTCCTCGTGTTGTTATAGGCTGTGGCTTCTATTATGACGGGCAATAATAAAGATAAAGACATCAGCAAGGCCTTGGAGGACTCATTGTATGTTAGAATACGCAAAACTCTATGCAGCATTAATGGATCAAAGGCTATGGATGGGGAAGAAGAAGAACTTAAGCAAGAAACAAGCATTGTTCCTACTGAAGAACTTATTCAAAGTGAACAAGATGGGGCAAAAGATGTGTTCTGTGAGGATAACAGCAACCAATGTGCAAATAATTATAATGGGAAGACTTCAGATGCAGGTAATGAAGAAGTTGTAGATGCACATTGTGAAGAGATTGTACAAATTGGAGATGTCAACAAGGTACTTGGTGTTCCAATTGAGGAAGGTGATTCTTGGAGTGTGCTTAAGGGCAAGGGTAATGGTGAGATTGTAGATGCAGAAAATGAAGACATTGTTCAGGCCGAAAAGGGTATCAACATTATTCCAATAGATGAAGATGATACAAGGAGTGTAATTAAGGGCAAGATGAATGTATATGTACGCTCAGATGTGAGAAATGCTCTTGAAACTATAGAGAGGGTTATTTCAACTGTTCGGGAATATGGATATCATTCACTCAGTTCCACTTCACACTCTGCTAATGGAGACTCACACTGCATGGAAAAAGGTGGCACAGTTGATTCAAGTTCTGCAAAACTTATTCAAGTGTGTTTGAAAAATGAGGTTAGTGTCAAAGGATCTCCGATGATCCAAAACTTCGGGTGATTATGTAACTCTTTCTTTGTTTGGAAATATAAGCCAGCCAGAACAGAATGCATAGTTCATAATGCATTTAACTGATGATCTTATTCTTTTTGGTTCCATCAGGCACGCAGGAACAAATGGTAACGTAAAGGAAGTAAACTATAATAAAGTAGTACCAGCTTCACTAGAGCAGAGTCTTTCAAGACCAATTGAAGCAAGCCTGGCTGATTCTTATTCTTTGAAAAATGGGACAATACTGGACCAGACAATATGTGATGACGAACAATTAAACAGTGATGCAGTTCAAGATATGTCTTCAGATGACCTGAAAAAGTCAACCAGGGAAATAAAGTATCGATTCTGTTGTTTTATGCAATAGCTAAAAGGTTGAGTTGTATAGAGATCATATGTGTTGGACTAATTTTGTCCCTTATTATTCTACCAGAAATACAATGTATGTAATGTCAAATTTTATTATTATCATTATTATTGCTGTTCCATCTATTGCTAAAAAAATTTATTTATATATGTATGATTTAAGAAGTTAGTTTTATTTTGTTCCTAGCATTCGGGGTGTGGTTTTTATCCCCATTCACTGGCATTCACTAATTTAACTCTGTTGTCTTAGTTGGGACAGCACCTATTGTAGAAAAAATGGTAGAAACTTGCCTTAGGTGATTTGGGTTTGCATTTATTTGCAAAACAAAATTTGGAGTTAAAGGTATATAATTGATGCTGTTTGACAATTTAATTTAAGTTTGTCTTTTATTTTTGTCCATAGTGTATTCTGATTCTGTGCTTAACTTAGATGAAGTTTAGCAGAGCATTTTACTTTGAATAATTGAATTGTTTTTACCTTGTCTGATGTAATTATGTAATTGCAACATGGCACGTCTTATGGATCCTTTATAACATACCGGAGGATTGGTACTAATATTATCAATTCATTAATATAGTTTTGGTCTTTTGGATGTTTGCATGATAGGATTATCACAAAAAAAAAAAAAAAAAAAAAAAAAACAAAAAAA